ATCTGTTAGCTCCTGTTAATCTATCTGGTATCTCCTGTGATTCTATCTGTTAGCTCCTGTTAGCCTATCTGTTAGCTCCTGTTAGTCTATCTGGAAGCTCCTGTTAGTCTTTCTGTTAGCTCCTGTTAGCCTATCAGTTAGCTCCTGTTTAGTCTATCTGTTAGCTCCTGTTAGTCTATCTGTTAGCTCCTGTTAGTCTATCTGTTGGCTCCTGTTAGCCTATCCGTTAGCTCCTGTTTAGTCTATCTGTTAGCTCCTGTTAGTCTATCTGTTAGCTCCTGTTAGTCTATCAGTTAGCTCCTGTTTAGTCTTTCTGTTAGCTCCTGTTAGTCTATCTGTTAGCTCCTGTTAGTCTATCAGTTAGCTGCTGTTTAGTCTATCTGTTAGCTCCTGTTAGTCTATCTGTTAGCTCCTGTTAGTCTATCTGTTAGCTCCTGTTAGTCTATCTGTTAGCTCCTGTTGGTCTTTCTGTTAGCCCATGTTAGTCTATCAGTTAGCTCCTGTTTAGTCTATCTGTTAGCTCCTGTTTGTCTATCTGTTAGCTCCTGTATGTCTATCTGTTAGCTCCTGTTAGTCTATCTGTTAGCTCCTGTTAATCTATCTGTTAGCTTCTGTTAGTCTATCTGGTAGCTCCTGTTAGTCTATCTGTTAGCTCCTCTTAATCTGTTAAACGTCTGGATGTTGGAAATATCTGTCACTTGCATTTTGTTAAAAAAAGATTGTGTAGGAATCAACCAAATAAATTGTACTCAGATATGAGCTCAGCTGTTATGTGTATAGTATGTAGGGTCTGTGCTCAGAGGAGGTTGTAGCGGGTCTGAGATCTATAGAGTTTAGAGTACCTGGTGAGTAGAGGAAGCTGAGGTCTGATATAGCATGGGTCTGAGATCTATAGAGTTTAGAGTACCTGGTGACTAGAGGAAGTTGAGGTCTGATGTAGCATGGGGCTGAGATCTATAGAGTTTAGTGTACCTGGCGAGTAGAGGAAGCTGAGGTATGATTTATCATGGGTCTGAGATCTGTAGACTTTAGTGTACCTGGTGTGTAGAGAAAGCTGAGGTCTGATGTAGCATGGGTCTGAGATCTATAGAGTTTAGTGTACCTGGTGAGTAGAGGAAGCTGAGGTATGATTTAGCATGGGTCTGAGATCTGTAGACTTTAGTGTACCTGGTGTGTA